AGAAAGAAAGAAAGAAAGAAAGAAAGAAAGAAAGAAAGAAAGAAAGAGGAAGGTAGAGAAAGTAAAAAATAGGAAAACAGAGAGAGATAAAACTCTGCTATTATTTTTAATTGTTCCATTATTTATCATGTGTTAATATTTTACACTGTCCCTACACCTGGAGTGATTTTTCTGCCTTTCTTTTGCCCAGAGCTACCACATATTTTCAGGGTTTACATGCATTCAATGTCAATAGTCCAGAGCATAAAATACACGTGTTTAAAAAGAGTTGAAAGGGACCTTGGAGGTCTTCTATTCCAACCCCCAGCTCAGGCAAGAAAACTGAGGATGCCAAACTCTGAGTAGAAATCCTGGTTAAAGTGTCAGAATAATACTTAGAAGGGACCTTGGGGTGAACCCTATACCATTTCAGAGAAATGGCTGTCCAGTCTTTTCTTAAAAACTTCCAGTGATTTGAGCACCCAGAACTTCTAGGGACAGGCAGTTCCACTGGTTAATTGTTCTCACTGTCAGAAAGTTTCTCCTTAGTTTTAGTTTTGCTTCTCTCTGTTCAGTTTCCATCCATTGCTTCTTGTTTGCATTCTGCTTCTTTGGAAAATACATTGTCCCCCTTTCTTTGTGGCAGCCCCGTAAAAGCCTGCTGCCTATCACACTCTTGAGTAAAGCATGTGAGCCATTTCCTCCTTTCAGTGGTCCATGAAAGTACATCTATAGTATGCAGATAATAAAGTCAAAAAAGGTGAACAACATTTTTACAGAACTATAGATAAGTTGAGGCTGGATGACAAGGAATGGCTGGGAGGGGAGGGGCCAGGTGAGACACCCCTTGATGTGAGTGACATTGAGTTGGCCACGCCCACCCAGTCACATGACCACCAAGCCATGCTCACCCAGTCACATGTCCACTAAGCCACACCACACAGTCACATGACCACAGGCCATGCCCACCAAATAAGCCACACCCACGGAACCAGTAGTAAAAAAATTTGAATTCCCCCACTGATAAAAATATAATGTGCATTGTGTGTGTGCAAAAGGCAAGTTAAACACATGCTTGGGAATCAACTGAGATATCTTGTTTTAGGCTCTACCCATTAGCTTTGGAAATACTCCATGCAAGTTATGTTTTGAAATCTGTATCTCAGCTCAGTTTAGCAAATACTAGAGACAGAAAGAATAGGGTATAACTGTTTGACTGAACATAAATATTTTATATCTTTGTTGATGTAGGTTTTGATGAACTCCATGCTTGTTCTGATCCTGGATTCCCTGAATATGGATATAAAATGCCCAGCACAGGTGTTTTCTTTGAAAGTTCAGTTGTCCGGTTTCATTGCCAAGAAGGATACAGGCTTAAGGGTCCATCCCAAAAGCTTTGTGAGAGACATTTTAATGGTTCCCTAAGCTGGAAGCCAAGTGATAAACCTGTGTGCCTACAAGAAGGTAAGTCTAACTTACTGTTAGCAAATTTCATTTGTAAAAAAACCTCCATGGTTATACTATCACTGTGCTTCTGGTGTATGAGATTGTGCTATAATTTCTGAGAAGATTTTAAAATAATTATTTTAATACTGCTTGTTCAGAAAGAGATGGCATCACTGAGTCAAATAAAAATATGCATTTCTTTTGACACTAAAAATCAGAATTCATTAAATACTCTGTCCACAAACAGAAGCTATTACCAAAGAAGCTGTTTTTAAAATACTTTTGTATGTGACAAATGTGATATATTTTATAATTATATAATAGGAAAATTGTAGATTAAAGATGCAGGTGGTACATCCAAATAAAATAAATACAAAATTAGTATTTAATTATTCTTCCAATGTTAGTTATATAACTTTGAAGTTCTATTTTAAGAAAAGGATGATTAACTTATAATAAAAGTAGATGTTAATCAGAATATGAAATCCGTTATGTGTTGCTGGAATGTTGTAAATTTAACTTGAAGTTAAAAGGAATGGCACATAAAATTGTTTTAAAACTATTATTTCTGTATTAGGACCATATATATGGGTGCTGTTTTCTGCATAATTATTTCTTACATACATTTTTTTATTATGGAATCTTTGAGAGGAGCAGAGTTAGACATGGAAATTATCAATATATTATCCATGTCAGTCTATGTAAAAATGAAATTTTCAACATCTATTAAACATTGTGTTCTGTATTAATTTGCTGTATTAATATTAGTGATGTTGCTATCATTAAAACTATACATATAGAAAAGAAAGACTGCTTATTCGCAAATAGAAGAAACTCTGTTCAAAATGTTCAGGATAAGTTCTGATGATGAATTGTTTTTCAGTGTATTGAAGTAGTTTAAGGCAACTCAGGCATTGCTCTATGTGTAGAGTTGTGACCATTAATATTAGTTCAGCATGTCCCTGAGGTATGAGGGGACCCTAGACGGGAATGAATTTGCTATTGGCATAAATGTAATACTTCATCTTTATTGTGTGATATTTTAGTTGTAAAAGTAAATATATAATGAACAAAACTTTTTAGCATCAACCATATTAAATAAGAATAAGCATTATCTTTTTATCACATAAGCAGATTATATATTTTACATATTTTAATAAAATTACTAAGCATATTTTATATGTGAAATTTTCACAAAAATTCTGCAAGGTTATTTTTAAAATGGGTGCCATAAAGCTTCTTCATTTTTATGTATTTTCATTTTGAATTCTCTCTCCTCTAGAGTCTGTCACAATTTTATCTGTAATATATATATGGTCATCAGTCTATATAGCTCAGCATTGCCAGGAAATGGGCCATCATTTAACTATAATGCGGTCTATGGTGTCATCCTTTAGCAAACAGTTGTTTAGAAGCAGGCTGAACTATTAACGTTTTTCATCTTTTTAGCAAAGGAGAAAGTAAGAGTAAATAATTTGTGGGAGATGTAGAATAAAGCTAGATTCTTTTCTACTCTGGGTTTAACACAGAATTTACCTTGAAGCTTATCATGTATAACTGGCCTCTGGAAATAAGTTGAAAGAGTGGGATCCTACTGATTTTGCTAAATATTTCGGTTGTGTTCTGTTCTGGGGTAATGGGTGGTAGCATTGTGTAAGTTATTTCTTTCATTCTTGACAGGCAAAGCTACTTGAGTGGGAAGTGAGGGAGGGACTATTTGCTCTTAATCAATAAAATGTTCCAAAAGTTCCATATATTTATTATCTGCATGAAATTTCTGGGTGAAGTTTTGGGGAATTCGGGCTCTGATATTAATAACATACAGATGATACAAGCTCTTTCATTCACTTTATCTGATCTCAGAGACAGAAGTATATAAGCATAAAATGAAAATACCATTTGTAAATTGATTGTCTAAGTCAATTTATTTTGAGGACTCACATTCCTAAAATAACAGATTTGTACAGTAGTTCAGGTTGCTCTTTGTTCTTTCTGGTATTTCTTTTTTCCACCTTCACCTGGTTTCCTATTTGCTGCCATTCTAACAAAAACACATGTTGCAGTTACTCAATTTTAAATAGCTCCTTCCAGATGCATCTCACTTTATATGAGATTTCTCTTGAAAAGAATCTGATATTTGATGCAAAAGACTGGATGATCACATCATATCTCTTTTATTTTACTTACACTAAATCTGTTTCCAGCTCAATACAAATTGCTGCTATTTGGTTTTGAAAGGATCACATGGCTTGGGGCCTGAATATTTTAAGAATCAACCTCTTAAATAGCAATCTTCCCACTTGTTCTCTTGTTAAGAGCATTGCTTTAGAACTTCTATTTGAAGCAGCATTTGGTTTATAGTTATGGGTTTTAACCCCAGTTATATATATGTATCAACTTGGTGTGATCTAGATATAATTATTTCTTAAATGGTATGAAAAGTTGCTCTTTAAGGAAGCATTTAGTTAAGTTTATTGTTTTTTATTATATTTTACCTTTTATAATTGCTGTTTCTGTCAAATCAAATTTACTACTGCAATAATTGATCAAAGCAAACATTGATTTTTAAGAAAAACATGATATATGCATCCTTACTTTTAACAACCTAAATACTGTCTGGTGAATTTTGCTGACCCAGGGACTGTTTATAGTACAACATGCATGTAGCTGTCATTTGACCGATATATACAAATATACATATTTATTTATTTTTTCTAATCCTTTTAATAATACCATAGATCAGGAGTGTCAAATTCACAATGACATGTTGTTCATGTGACGTATCACAACTTTCCCCCCTTTTGCTAAAACAGAGGTGGGCATGGCCAGCGCATGACACATATGGCCCACGAGCCGCGAGTTTGACACCCCTACCATAGATGCATAGAGGAGGAGAAGGGGAAGGTAAGGAAAGAGAAGAAGAAGAAGAAGAAGAGAGAGATTTTCCTCATGCAAAACCTGAATAATTATATAATTATAATTGCCAATCAACTGAGAAGAACATTGAATGCTTTGGGCAAAATTATCACTTCTTGGCTTAAATAATTTTCCTAGATTGTCGGACACTACTCCACAAAGATCTATTATTTACTCAATGGAGAAGGGTAATAAGGAGAAATATGAAAATGAAATTAATAATTGATAAATCAGATATAGTTCAGCAGGGAGTAAAATCTATTCAAATACTTTTTAATGAAAACATACTACTAATTTCTTTTTAGTAGGGAGAGAGAACAAATTATCCATTGATCCCTTAAAATGCAATCTTATTCTTTTTTTTAAACATTTAAAAATAATTTGGTTTTTTACATTATTTTCAGTCTGGCTATCCGAATGGCTATAATGATCAAGCATTAATTATTTTTGTTATTTAATAGTGAATATGCATCAGAGTAATTATAAACATTGGTAAAATAATCAAGTTACTGATTGATTGGGACCTCCTTGTTTTAGCTCATAAAAATATCAAAAATGCAACTTGTATAGAAAAATATGAATGCTTCTGTAAAAACATGTGATGAGTAAAACAATAGTAAAACATTGCCAAAAAGGCATTAAGAGTTGTTAACCTAATTTTGCGAAGCTTCTTCTCCAGTAACATTGAATTGCTAACTAGGGCATGCAAAACCTTTGCCAGACCAATTCTTGAATACAGCTCGTCCACCTGGAACCCACACTGTATATTGGACATTAACACAATTGAGTGGGTTCAGAGGTATTTTTCAAGAAGAGTAGTCCACTCCTCTACTCACAATAGAATTCCCTATGCCTCCAGGCTTGAAATTTTGGGCTTGGACAATCTGGAACTGCACTACCTGCGGTCCAATCTAAGCATAGTATACAAAATTGTCTGCTACAACGTCTTGCCTGTCAACGACTTCTTCAGCTTCAACCACAATACTACATGGGCAAACAATCAATACAAACTCAAGGTAAACTGCTTCAAACTTGATTGCAGAAAATATGACTTCAGCAACAGTCAATACCTGGAATGCTCTACCTGACTCCATTGCTACAATCTCAAACAGTCTACCATGGACCTCACCCCATTCTTAAGGGGTCCTTAAAGAGGATGTGCATAAGCGCACCAGCGTGCCTACCACGCTGTATTTACTTCCTTCATTCATGTTTATGTTCATACCTACACTTGCTATCTTTTAATGTTTGACAAACAAATAAACTAATAAATAAAATAGTATTAAAGAAGGACACAGGAGCCAATGATCTTAGAGCTGGTTACAACTGAAGCAAGCAGCCAATCTGTCAATTAAATAAATAAAAACAAGCATGGATTAGCTTTTCGTGGCATGTATCTTTTTCATAAATTCTCACTACTGTAGTATCTTTTGTATATCCTAGCAGCTGCAAAAAATTGACCTCTTGTATCGCATCAAGCTGCTTAAAAGAAATATGGGGCATAAATTCAGTAAATAGATAATGTTATTTCCCACACAGATTGCTGTAAATGGTCTAATTGGTGCTGCCCTTGATAACTACCAGGAAATTTCAACCCGTGCACAATCCTGCTGTTATTTTGACTAGGGTGACTGGGGTATATTATATATGATTTCATTATTATAGATAATTTACTGGCTACCATTTTGGCTATATGCATAGTTTAATGTACTGATTACTAGCTTAAATCACATAATTAATTCAGTAGTAATTTCCTGTTATTTGAACTTTACTGCTATTTAAGAACAACTGTTTCTTGTGGCAGAATCCTACACGTGGAGATGGGTCAGCTTCCTCTTTATTTGTGTCTTTTTGCCAGCAATTAAATAAACTGATCTTTACAGTAATTGTCAGTTTCACATACGACTCAATTTCATTTGTTTGTTTGTTCGTTTATGCTGTTAAATCTTTGTGTTTTTCTGTTTGCTGCTTTTATATTGTTATAAATATGTTTATATATCAAATTTTGTTTCTTTTTTCTTTTTAAAAAAATGCTTTAACCAATTCTTTATGGGGGGAAAGAAATGGACAATAATAATAAATGTATTCTGGTATAGTTGTATACTGATCCTGATACAGTATTGATGGTCAAATAATAAATCACTTTTTTGAAAAAAATGGTAAATTTCCTAACATAGTGTAGGAAATGTAGCATAGTGTGGAAAATTGCAAGTAGTCCTCAACTTATGACCACAACCGAGCCCAAAATTTATGTTAAGTGAGATATTTGTTAAATGAGTTTTGCCTCATTTTATGACCTTTCGAGCCACAGTTGATAAGCGAACCACTGCAGTTGTTAAGTTGGTAACATGGTTGTTAAGTGAATCTGCCTTCCCCATTGGTTTTGCTTGTCAGAAGTTTGCAAAAATTGTTCACATGACTCCGGGACACTGCAACCATCATAAATATGAATCAAATTACCAAGAGTCTGAATTTTAATCACATGACCGTGGGGAAGCTACAACAGTCATAAGTTTGAGAAATGGTCATAAGTGACTTTTTTCAGTGCCATGTAACTTTGAACATTCACTAAATGAACTGTTGTAAGTCAAGGACTACCTGCATACAAATAAAACTTTTTGCATTACATTAGCCAACATTTCAAATTTAAGATAATAATACATTTTTTATGAAGCTACAGATTGGCTTGCTCCAACTGTTGAAGATGCCGAGATTCAGAACAAGACATACAGAACTGGAAATAAATTAATAATCAGCTGTCATGAAGGATTCCAGATCCATTTCTCTGATTTGGCCACCCTGGTATCAATACGTCAAGATGATGGAACATGGGATAATCTGCCCATTTGCCAAGGTTTAGTACACTAGAGCATCTTACCTTATAGATCTGAGTAGTGACAGATTGGAAGGGGGGCACAAGGCTTGCATCTTAAGGACATGACAATTAACTATAGTTTCTAGAACAGCATTACCTTTATTAGAGATATTTTGCAATTAAAATGGCCAAAATGCATTTTAATGTGATTAGTCTATTGTTTGCTTCATTTGAGAGATAAAATTAAATGTTTTGTATGTTTAATTTCTTTTTAAACTTGCCAATGTAAATAATTAAGCTGTCAAGTTAATTGAATCCTTTCCTTCAATTAAAGAACTAATTCATTACTTAATTGAAAAGTAATTAAAATCAGGATAATTATCTATTTTCTTTGGTTCTGGTGTCAAATGAAACTTTCTGACATTAAGAGTAGGTTACAAATTGTTCTTGCATCTGTAGTCCTAAATAAAACTTCACTGAAGGTGCTATCCTACATATTCCAGATAATGAGCACTAAAAGAAATATATAGCATGGAGTCATAAAATTTCAAATTATTTTTGCCTTTGATCCAGTTCATTCATTTGCAGAAATAAGAAAATCCTGAATCAAATACAGCTATATATTATACGAAAGAAAGTCCATCAAACACATAGACATACAAACTTTTTTTTCCAGGGGAACTAAGCTCTTTTTTATTGAATTCTATCTCTCTTGTCACTTTTAACGAATAAACATCCATAATTATGACATTTTTTAAATTTTGTTTTGGTGGCACCCATTTCTATATCAGCAAAGGACAGCTCTCAATATAAATAACAAAACACAAATGCAATAAAATAAATAAAAAGACAACGAGAGAAATAAACATCAACCTCAAATACATGAGAGAAATAAACATTAACTTCAAAAGTAATGTTAATAAATTACCCAAAATAGTAAAATATACAGAAACGTGAACCTTTCTTATAAAACAAACAGGGTAAAATAGAATTTTTAAAGTCTGAAAGAAAATGATGGTTCTTCTGGACTACATTTATGCCATATCATGCCACTATAATTTGTGTTTCTCTTGTTAGCGAGGCAAGCACCATAGTATCCACTTACTCTCTGTGTTTTGGAACAAGGTATATTTAGACAGGGGGAATTTGTTTTTATTCCACCATTAAATATTTTGTATAATAATTCTTTATCCTATGAGTTGCTATTGAAAGATTGGTAGAACAAATACATTTGATTTGAAGATAAAAAAACAATGGACTTTAGGTCTTAAATTCTTCAGGTGGGGAATAATAAGGAAGTTCTTAATTTTCTTTTCTCATGAATCGTGGGTATATAAGTTGCAGCTTTGACTGCAGCTATTTTACTTTGGGTGTATACTTCAGATTCAGTTGCATAAGGATAACTGTTATTGTCTGTACCACAGAATATATATCTTATTACAAAATTATAATGTCCCTGTAACTTTACCCCACAATGTTAAAGTAACTCAGTACTTAAATATTTCAAGTGACTTATCTGAGAGGGAGAAAATTGATCAGCTTTCCAATTTTTCTGTCAATGTTTAACTCTTTTGTAGTTTCTCTATAATTTTTAAAAATTTTAAATTATGATGCTTTATTAGTAATTTTCTTTACAATGATGCAACAGAAACTGTGAAATACAGTCACATCATACAAGCAGACCTATACTGTTTCAGACAAATGGTTGTCCAATGTCTTCTTAAAATCCTCTAGTGATGGAACACTCACAACTTCAGAAGACAAGCCATTCCACTGATTAATTGTGCTAACTATAAGGAAATTTCTCCTTAATTATATCTTGCTTCTCTCCTTTATTAGTATCCATTTGTTGTTTCTTGTTCTGCCTTCAAGTGTGTTTAATTTTCAAATTATTTTCTATTATTATTATTATTATTATTATTATTATTATTATTATTATTATTATTATTAATTGTCTGTTAAATTTGTCTGCCACCTATCTCAACACAAGGCTTACAACATTAGAAGCAATAAAACTATATAAATATATCCAGTAGCAATAAAATTATAAATTATAGTAAAAAGAGGGGAAGGGAGGGAAGAGTGTGTGCAGGGGGTGAAGTGAGATCTAACTCTTAGTCCATTAACCATCTTCAGTGTAACACTCCCCCATTGGGCCCAAAACCAACTAGCACAGCAAGGTCTTCAGGCTCTTATGGAAGGTCAGGAAAGTGGGAATGGCAAGAGCCATGGCAGAGAAGGATCTTTGGGACCCCACCAGCCAAAATTCCTTAGTTTACAGGATTCACAGTGGGCCCATCCTATTGGAATGAGATAGTTCCTCGGGTATCCTGGCCCATGCCCTGTAGGGCTCTCTAATAATCCCTAACAAAATAAGCATTTAGCAATTCCTGCTAAATGTGCATTTCTTTATTCCATTGAATTATCTACTATCAAGAACTACTTTCTTAAATAGTTGAAGCCAATTTTCAACACTTTGGAGGAGTTAAGATGTTTTGCCTACTATGTATCGCTCTGTACTTATACTGAAATAAAGACTTTATTGGGAGAGTAGCAAAGATTCAAATCTCTTTCTGTTTTTTATGTGAGTGAAGTGGGGTCTGTTGCTGGGGGGAATCAGAAAGCAAGGATGCTGCCCCATTTAACCAATTTTACTTCCTCACAAATTTATTTTTTCTTTTGATTTTTTCTAGTTTCAGGAAAATACTTCTTGAAGTCATGCTTTTAGCTGAATCAGTGAATAAGTAGGTTAACCATCACCTAAGTGTTAGTCCACTAACACTTTCTGCAGTTGAGTCCCCTCTTCTCCGATATTAGTAGCATAATGGTGAAAATGTGAAGTTGATAGACTCTGGTTTCTTTTGAAATGTGTTGTAACACAGAGGTGGTTAGTGCATTGTTCAACTATTTAACTAACTAAATCTTGTTAGTTAGTTAACTAACTAATTTAGCATTGACCATAGCTTCCTTCCACTATTTTTCTGAATGAATATGTAGTTTTAAAAGATAGGTGGATAGGTGCTACAGTTGTTGCTGATACTGTATATAATGTGGGCATGTAAAATAGCCATTTGCTGGATTACAATTTATGAAGCAGGTGCTGTTTAAATAGACTTGCTGGTCTTCAAATTTTCAGCTGTTGCAACATCCCCTGGTCACATGGTTGCAATTTGGTACTTGTCAATTATGACGACTATAGTATCTCACGGTTACATGGCAGGAAATTGTAAATTGCGATCACATGACATTGTGCTTAACAACCACAAGTGATTTGCTTCATGACTGCTGTCTGAATTGATGTCTTAAACTAGACATGGTCACATGAAATTTCATTTTCAGACCACATTGCTTAGTAATGGAATAGTTGATTCCAATTGTGGTTGATAAGTGAGGATTACAGGTAGCCCCTGTCTTACAACCATTCATTTAGTGACCTTTTAGAGTTACAACGGCACTGAAAAAACTCGTGACATTTTTTCACATGACCATTGTACTTCTCCATGGTCACATGAAAAATGTGGCCGCTTGGCAACTGTCAAGTATTTATGATGTTTGCAGTGTCCCAGGGTCATGTGATCACTTTCTGTGACCTTCTGACAAGTAGTCAATGGGGAAACCAGAATAATTTAACAGCCATGTTGCTAACTTAACAACTGCAGTGATTCACTTAAAAATTGTGGCAAGAAATGGGACAAAACTCAATAAGTGTCTTGCTTAGCAATGGAAATTTGGGGCTCAATTGTTGCCATAAATTGAGGGCTATCTGTGAAGAGTTGTTAAAAAAACTATTAGGACAACAACCAGACTGATGTTGCTACACTATCATGATCAATGTAAAATCATGATTTAGAAGTCTCTTCTTTTGAGAGAATGACTATCTTTTGACACTAGAATAAAATTATGGTCCTTTGCAGGAAACTATCGGTGAATTTTGTTGTAAAAATAGGAAACTACATGGTAATCCTTCAACAGACTTAGAGTAAATATCTGCAGTCTCTCATCAGCTGTAAATTAGATGAGAGAGTCTTGCAGATAGATACTGTAAAGTAGTTTGCCTTTTTTTTAATTCCCTGCAAACTGCAGTCTTATCCACTCAATTCATCCATATTAAAATACAAAACCATAAAAAGCATGGGGATTAAGAATACACATTTTGCCCACATATTTCCAAGATCTGAGTATTAGTTGGTATCTAAGAGGAACAATTTCCTCAGGTGGCTAATCTTGTTGAGATTATTGATTTTTGCATAAGAGATCATAGGCAATATCAGGGCTATATTCTACACTGGCAATCTATGGAAAATATACTAGAAATAAGTTGTGCTTATCCTCAGTCTGCCAGGAAAGTCTTCTGTTCACATACCTTTCAATTTCACAGCACTGGAGATTTTCTGTTGGAGCAATGTGGCCATACTGTGTATAAATATCTTGCTTTAAATAAATTAAGAAAGTAAAAATCAGAGTAAATCTGATTCATTTTGCTCTCTGCTGTGCAAATCTGATTTCTGCTCTAGATGATTTTTGTTTATATTTTTAATAAAATATCCAAACACGAGTTAAATAAATACTGTGGTTTTTTGTGACAGGGAAGGTTTTACTTAGTTCTAAATATGTATAAAATAACCTGGGATTTGGATTATTTTTTTCCAGAACAAAAGCCCATCTGTTCATGTCCTGGGAGTAATATGTAGCTATCACAATTTCTGTAGTATTTCCTGGAATAATCATGTTTTCTCCTAGAAAAACACATTATGCAATTTTGTAAGTAATTAATAACTGAAAAGCTTCTATATTGACTATCGGAACCATTGCAATGGGTTAAAATAGATTAAAAATCCATTTGTTTATGTCTATAGTTTTATAATACTAATGATAGTAACATTAGCATAACAGTTTCAAAGGAAAGGAACAATTGTTTTAAATAGGTACTGTTTTTTAAAAAATTTAGATTTCTAAGGCCACCAAACTCAAAGATGATTGGGAAACTTCAGAAATCTAAATGAAAAACCAAATAAAGGCCAGAATAAAGAATGTAGAAAATCGTATATTAAAATAATCCTATGCTGAATTTAGTACTTTTGTTACAAAGTGTATGCTGAACAATTAGAAGTGATGATCTAGCATATATGATGGGAATGAGGGAATTCAAAAATGAATCAGCAGAAGTATTAATTTGCTGTTCAGATAAAGGAATATCTATATTAAATTTATTGCTAAGTAGCTATTTTAAAAAATAAATACCTCCTAATAAGACACCTACTTTTTCTTAATTTGCAGGTTGCCTGAGACCACTGCTGCTTCCTCATAGTTTCACTAATATATCTCAGTTCGAGTCTTCCTTCCCAGTAGGATCAATGATATATTTTCAGTGTTTTCCTGGAGATAAATTAGAAGGTGCAGAGTTCCTTGAGTGCATGTATAATCTTATCTGGTCAGATAGTCCACCTAGGTGCCTTGATGTGGAAGGTAAAACATCTTCTATATTCAGACAAATACTGATAAAATCTCAGTATAGTTGTACTTGGTCTAGTAACTTTTTACTTGATCTTAGTCTTTTTCTCAGTACATAAACAATGTGTTTTACAGATAAATTATATACAGTACATGTCTGCTTAGAATTAAGTACTACATTCAGTTCAATAAATATAAAATTTCAGGCCTACTTATGTATGTATATATTATTAAAAATAATTCTAGGCTGTTTGAAATTGTGTAAAACTACTTGCTTACAATATGTATTAATTAAATGCATATTGCATGAATTAATTGATTAATGAAAGGAAAATGGAGATGTATGTCTGTGAAACTAAAAGAAAGCAGAAGGACATATCTGAATGAAAGTGGTCTGATTTTGTGGAGTAAAGTTGATAAATAGGTGCAGGAAAACGAAGGTTTAGGTTTGATTAGGAATAAAAGGATAACATCTGTTGTGGAGCGGCGGAGATACGAGGCTGAGCCAGAGTGAACGTTAAAGGCTTTATTCCAAGAATAAAGGGTTGCCGCGTCTGCCTTCTAACTAGGCAGGTTAGCTGGCGGCAACAGGGCTGATACCGCTTGACAGCCGCCTTTTATAGCCGGCTGTCAAACGGTGTCAGCCAATGGGAGCAGCTGGTGCTCCCGCTCAAACAGCGGACCTGGTTGGGGACTCCAACCAGTCCCAAAGACATAACAACATCATTGTCAGAAAGTATGAATTGGTGTAAACCCAATTATCATGGGGCACATATCGAAGTAAAAAAAATCACAAATAGATTATAGTAACCAACCTGTGGATATAGAAGAATCACAGGTGAATTTTGGGAAACACTGCAAAATTCTGAAGAGTATCATTTGGGAACAAAAAAGTATTCTGGTAGATGATATGAATCGATCAAAACAAGAAAGTAGGGGAAAATAATATTTGGGGCATTCAGAGATCCAAGAATAAACAAGAATAGTGATTGTTTGGTAAGTATATATTTAGAAAAACTATGTTAGTTTCAAATATGAGTCTATTCATATGTATTTATGGGAAATAAGAATATAAATGTAAAAGCACAATTTATTGAATTATTTATGATAAAAACCTGAGAGAATTAGCAAAAGATACAAGGATGATTAATTATTCTGAATATGGGTAGACTATTGTATGCTAGTGTCAGAATGGATATTGGGAAAAATAGAAAAAAGGGGCAAATAGCTCAAATAATGTAGAGAGAAACTAGGAAGTCACAGTATATATTAGAAAAAAGTATTAGAAAATAGTTTAATGGAAAGGGAACGTGAGGAAAGAAGATGTGAAAACTTTTTGGAACAGAGTTTAAAAAAAAAGTGTTATAGAATTCCATAGAAATAGGTGGACAAAAATGTCTGTACCTAATCGCAACAGTACCAAAATTATAAAACATGCATTATGACTCGACAATTCCAGTTCTATCCTTTCATTCTTGTGTATGACATCACAAGAAAAAAAGGAAATTGTGTCACAACACGTATCATCATTTACCCTCTTGTATAAGTTGATATACATCCATGAGAGTAGGGGTAGTGATATTTGTGTAATGATATCATTGTGTGAATTCTGACATATGTTCTTGGGTCAGATGTTCGGATGCAAATTTATAATAGCATCATTTGTATGAGTATGTTATTGAATGTGTATCATTTTGGCATCATCTTGATTTGCCAAAAACATTCTTCTTCTTTCCCTTTCCTTCAAAATATAGCATAGTATATTTACTATACTGTATACTATATTTAGTATAAACACAAAATAATAGAGCTATCTTTCCATTCTGGTCTTTAAATTGTGTAATTGTCCCTTTTTAGAAATTCATACAGATAGTTCATTTATGGCCTTGAAATTTTTTTAAAATTTTTTAACCAGGCTTCTAAATGAAATTTACATATGCATCTATCCATCATGCTATTCATTTTCAGGGTAAGCAGTGTTATGGAAGGGGGCAGAAAAGAATAAGAAATAGTAAACTGAAGTATTTGAAGGCACAAGATAAGAAAAGGTAATATAACTGATTAGTTTATACCTACACTGCTCATTATGCCTTCTGTATCTTCTGTCACCTACAAACCATCCTTGCTTCCACCACATTCATAGATCACTTCTATACACTGCTTTTTGTTCTTTAAATTTTTCATCTCTATCTTTCTGAAGATCTCACTAACTCTATTCTATCCACAGCTTTCTAATTCTTCCTCCTTCTGTTATTTATTTAATGATACCCTCATTAGTAAAATGGTACCTATGGACTAGAAGATGTAACTGTTAAATGGATTCATAACTGAATGAACACATAATAAATGCATCAGCTTCCAGAGTAGTACTGTGAAGTGCTACATGCTTTGTCCTGGTTTCTGTGCTAATCAACGTTTTTAATAACATGCATTACAAAAAGTCTGACCAGTTTAATCAATTGTGGTCAGGCCCTATTGGACATACTGTTTCTAATTCTAGGCATAGCAGTCTAAAAAGGACATTGACAAATGGAGGAAGTTCAAAGAAAGGGTAACAAGGTGAACCAATAATTAAAAATCTTGTCCTGTGAGGAATGGTTCAGCAAACCTGATATGTTTATCTGCAGAAGTAAATGTTGAAGAGAAGTATAATAGCAGTCTTCAGATTATCAGATTGTCATATAGAGTAGGGTGCAGGTATTTTGCTCAGAAGGCAGAGAAGTTGATCCAGTTTAGATTTTAGCATTTCGTGATTGTAAGAGCTATCAACCAGTGGGACAGGTTGCTTGGTGAAGCCCTGTTGCATTTTACTGCAGATCATTAAATAGAGATGAGATAACCATCTCTGCAAAATACTTTAATATATTCTGCACTGAGAAAGTTACTCTATTTGACCTCTCCACATCCTTCCGATTTTTATAATTTTTGGATTACATAAATACATCAGTGTAAACTGGCAGATATCAGGCTTCGTTTGAAGTTGACTTTACTAATTGATTGATTTGATTTGTAAAGTTACCATCTAAAATGAGTGACTAGCATGGCAAACAATCATAAAAACAATTAAAATAGTTAAAACACAGTACAAAAACACTTAAACACAAATAGCAACCAAGAGATACTATAATCTGTCAGCTTCAACATAGCCAGAAAACAGTGTTCTTTCCACACTTGGAACCCCAGGCCTGGGCACATAGCTAGGTTTTCAAGGCCTTCTGAAAGATCATGAGGTTGGGCATCCTAATTTCAGGAGGTAGGATATTTTAGAAGGCATGTACTATCCAGAAAAGCCACATTTTTTATTTATTTATCAAGCAAGTATTAGATAACAGGTATGAGCATGGTTATGAATACATGAAATGGATATGAATAAAAAAAAGAAACAATAGGACAGGGACAGTAGGCACATTGGTGCGCTTATGCACAACCCCTACAGACCTCTTAGGGAAGGGTTGAGGTCAATAGTAGACAGTCTAAGGTTAAAGTTTTGAGGGTTTGGGGAAGAAACCACATAGTCAGGTAGAGTATTCCAGACATTGACCACTTTGTTGCTAAAGTCGTGTTTCCTGCAGTCAAGTTTGGTGAAGTTTACCTTGAGTTTATATCTATTGTGTGCTCTTGCATTGTTGTGGTTGAAGCTGAAGTATTCATTGACAGGTAGGACATTGCAGTAGATAATTTTATGTACTATACTTAGATTGGACCGAAGGGGGCATAGTTCAAGGTTGTCTAGGTCTAAAATTTCAAGTCTGGTGGCATAAGGTATTCTGCTAAAAGTAGAGGAGTGGAGAATTCTTCTCGTGAAATATTTCTGGACTTTCTTGACTGTATTAATATCCGATATGTAATGCAGATTCCAGACTGATGAGCTGTATTTGAGTATTGGTCTAGCAAATGTTTTGTATGCTCTAGTTATTAGTGTAATCTTACCAGAGAAAAAGCTATGTAAGATTAGGTTAACAGCTCTTAATGCCTTTTTAGCTATGTAGTTACAGTGGGCTCTAGCACTTAGATCATTTGAGATGAGTACTCCAAGGTCCTTGACATAGTCGGGGTCATCAACAAGGTCTTGATTATTCAGCTTGTATTTTATTTTCTGATTTCTTTTGCTGATATGTAAGGCAGAGCATTTGTTTGTTGAAATTTGAAGTTGCCATTTGTTTGACTATTCTGACACATAGTTGAGGTCATTTTGAAGGGTAGCGGTATTGTCAGTGGTGTTGAATAGGTTTACATCATCAGTGAAAAGAACACAATTGCTCTTAATATGATCACAGAGGTCATTTATGTAAAGTATAAAGAGAGTTGGTCCTAGATCGCTACCTTGGGGGATACCACTGTTGACAGGTACAGGATTTGATAGGGTGTTCCCTATTTTGGCCATTTGTTGCCCGTTTGACAGGAATGCATCTATCCAGTTATGCAGGTGTCCGGAGATGCCATAAGATTTTAGTTTTAAGATTAGCTTGTCATGTACCACTGAGTCAAAGGCTTTACAGAAATCTATGTAAATAGCATCAATTGCTTTGTCCTGATCAAGTTGTGTAGTCCATATGTTTTTGCAGTGTAGGAGTTGCAGATTGCAGGATAATTTTTTTCTGAAACCAAATTGTTTGTTAGAGAGTAGGTTGTTTGTCTCTAAGTGGATGGCTGTGGAGACATCTCCTGGTCTCCACAGCCATGATTCCTTGGCCAACCTGCCTGTTATGGAGGCTTTGGAATCTGAGTCTGATGATGACAGGGAACCAGTCCTGCCTTCCTAAATGAGAAACATCAGGATGTTTTTATTTAAGAGGAGCTTTGACTTAAGACTGATAGTGGAAACAACCATCTATTACTCTGACTCTATGCGTTGCCTTGCCTTGCCTGCCAACCTTGCCCTGACAACTGATCGACAACCCTTTCTGTGCATTGGATTCCAGAATCATTTGGCCACTCTTGTGCCTGACTCCCTGGACTTGGAACTCTTTATTAATGCAAATTGTTAGACTGATAGAAACTTGGTTACCTCAAGT